TACTTATCTTTGTCCATCTGCCCTTTGCTTCGCTTTAATTTTGGCTTAGCGGCTTTTTGTATTGTAAAAGGATTCCAAGGCTGCAAGCGCGAGCTATTCGTTGAAGGATACATTTCGGGTTGCGCAAACTCCATCAGCAGGAGCAACTGAAAGATAAAGGTTACAATCTCAAGATTCTCGCCTTCAAAAAAAAAAAAAAAAGAACGAACATTATTATTGAAATACGAGTATTTCTTGAGATTGTTGTAATAAAAATCGTTGGGAATGCGAGAACTGTCAAATTAACTGAGTGGCTTTAGATACATGTTGAGCTCGGTCAATTCGTGAGAAGATTGAGCAACGGAAATGACTGTGTACCTGCTCCTTGTTCTATTAAAATTGCCAGGCCTGAAACGGGAGAGTTTCATTTGAATTCTTGTTATGACGTCAACTTATGGCCCAATCTAGCCATATAAACAAATCAAATCTAAGATGTCCCTGGCTAAACTGTGAGTTTACAAAAGCAAAGAGCGCGAGGTCTCTTCTCTTCAAAATCTTTTCAGTCCCCCGCCCCGCCCACCCCCTCTCCCCCCTCCCCCCTCTTGCGTTGGTCTTTGACCTTTCTGGTGTGGGCTATCTGGCCCACAGACTCAAATGAGTTTGAGACCGTTGGTTTAGCGGTTAGCACTCGGCTTCTACATACGTAGAAGCCGAGTGCGCTGCAGACAACTACTGACCTGGCACGCAGGAACGGGAGGAGCAGAAGCAGGTGGTTTGAGAAAGTGTGGGGAGCGGAGAGGGGCGAAGAGGGCAAGAAAGAGAAGAGCAGAAACAGGTGGTGTAGAAAGAGCGCGTGGAACGAGGAGTGGAAAGGGCAGGAAAGCGCGCTTTTCCACTTGGGGACCCAGAAAATTTAGCGCAAATCATTTGTATCCGGGTGGTGCTGAAGGGGGGGGGGGGGGGGGGGGGCGCGCAGCATAAGCAATGGTGTTAACTTAATCTGGGGAGCACCACCCAACCTGGGCACTGAATGACTAAGGGTCATCCTGTCCTAGGCGCCACCCGAACTAAGAGAAACCACCCAATGTTCCGCATTTAAACGGGTTTGGCAACGTAATAAAAAATACAACTGTTCTTTTTTCCTTTTGTTTGCTTTGTGTGTGTGTCGTTATTTAGAAAACCCTGTCTCGGGTAAATTCGCCATGTTTGACTAGAATTACTCGACGTTCTAGCTGCACTAGCTAATGTCGACCATCGTTTGTTCGTGTAGTTAAACGAGATGCATCGCACATTTCTAGGTAGGAAAATATTATTCATCTTTTTATTATCTTTTTGTTCTAGAAAAACAAAAATAATAAAGAAAGGAAGCCTATTTGGCTAATCTAGAAAAAAATGCGAGGCATTGTCTTTGTCTGTATATAAACGAGGGTGGAGGTTAACTTTAGTGCAGGTTTGGGGTTACTGTATTTCGCCATGCCGCGCTCACCCTTACCGTTGAAAGAAGTCGAAAAAAGAAAGTTCTCGTTTTCTTTCTTTTTTTCTTATTGTTTGGAGGTTGAACTAATTACCTTTCCCCCTCTGGGGGGCATTCTTCCGACGAGACAATGGAGTACAAAACATAAGGATAAAAGAATGAATGGTCCCACACTTTATGAGAAGAATAGGGGAAAGCTACCTCGTACCCTTTTTGTTTTAGACTGAGCGCTTTGTCTCATAGCTAGCACCCTTTGTTACTTAACGCCAGACAGTTTCTTTTTTTACTTAGTTGTGTTCTCTATTGCACAAGACGTGCTTACGATATGCTCGGAACAACGCTTGTTTTACATTAGTAACACAGAAACCAAAATTGAAATGAGTACGTATATCACCGAAGAAGCAGCAGCAGGCAGAGAGAGCGAGAGAGAATTTCGGGTTTACTTTCACGGATTCGAGTAAACAGGACGGCCCTGACGTCACTGCCCGCGGTTTCGTAATGCGGTTGACGTCAGTACATTGCGGGGTGCCTTTCGAAGCGGCAAAACTGTTATTTTTACTTTTTTTTTTTTTTTTTTATCGTAACACACGAGCAGCGACGCGATAGACGTCACCGTACACATCTTGAGATAGATGGTTCGATTGATAATAGTCACCGTTTCCCGATGCTTCTCGATTGTGAAGATAAAAAAAAAAAAAAATCTTTTATTTCTTTATTTTTTATTATTTTTTTTCTTTGGGGGGGGGGGGGGGGGGGGGGCGGGGGCGGGGGTTAGGTGTTTGAAGCAGCCCCAATGCTGATGTTGCGTACTGGCAGATTATGAAATTCAACCTAAGCATGGATCAGACCAGCTTGCACGCCGTATGCGCGCCGCCCATACGTCGAAATGACACCGCCAGGATCGCGGGCGGCGGCGGCGACAACGGGACACTTCTATGACGTCATCAGGGGAATATGGAGGCACCACTTTCTCGAACGCGGTACTCGCATCAGTCGGCGGCGACTCGTTCCTGCAGGCACGAGCTAACGCGTCCTCGCGTGGCTGGAACGAAGGCTCGGAGTCGACGTTCTTTTCTTGCCCTATCCATTTCCTCCGGGTGTTTGTGTTGTGTGATCGCTGCCAGCGTTGCGACAGCGCTTTTGTTTTTGATATAGTCTCGTAGCTATGCCTTCCTTCTTCGCGGCCATGAATATGTCGTCGCCTTGTGTGTGTGTGGGGGGGGAGGGGAGGGGGGAGGGGGGGGAGGAGAGACACGCTGGCACTTTATCTTTTATCTGATCGGCCGCTCGGCATTCCTTGGCCCGAGCCGCGAATATCTTTCGCGAGGGACTCGCCAGTTTTCGTCGTCCGCAACTCCGATCGACTCTCTGAGTCGCTCCCCCTTCATGATGAGTCGGCAAACAAAGTTTCCTTACTTTTGTGACTTTGAAGATTGTTGTTAAAGGGAGGGGAGCTCCGGCGAAATTTCGGTAGTCTCTGTTTTGCCTTAAAATTGCTTCAACACATTGACATATTCGAACAAGTAATATAAATTACGAATCTCTAATCTCAATACTTTTTTTTTCCAAGTTATTGAAGTTTTATATCTGGTCTCAGAGGCTCTGCTGGCAACACTAAAAACGTAATGTTTTTTTTTTTGTTTTGTTTTTTTGTTTTTTTTCACAGATGTTTTTGGTTTTCAGGCTAGGTGGTGCACGTTACCGCCCTTTATGAAGGGTACATCTGTTAGCATCCATCTATAGGTTGTAAAATGGGTGCATTCACCGTGTACGCGACGGATACAAGAATGTTGATGGTGTGAAAGGAATGCTAATTTAACCCACGCCAGCAAAAAAGACACAAAAAAAAAGACCGTTGTTTGTTGTCTGGTTGTTCGACTTGCAAGTTATACAACATGTGGCGTCACGTGACATTTGCCGTTTTCTCGAAAGCTATTTTGATTTGAGAGAAAACCGCTTTAAACGACCTTCAAAGCAGACAATGTCGTTGAGTCTTAAACGTATTTAGCTCGTTCAGACAACCTTCTTTATTGTCCTATTGTGATCAACCGTTTCACTATAGGCTCGGAACGGGTGTGACGTAGACTGTTCTCTCGTGACTGACACCAACTCTGTCGGTCACGTGACCTGTCCCTCAAGGCCGACTGCTGCCAGGCTCCCCACCCCCCAGTTGGACGGTCTGATTTCGACGTGGCGTCGGTCCAAAATTGCTCGCCATATTTTTACGTTCTTTTTTTTCTTTTCTGTTTTATGCTCCCTATGTTATCTACTAATTGCTCTGGGCGGGGTTCCTGGTACTTTTTAAACGAACACATACAAGGGGAATGTGTCCATAGCGTTTGTTGGCGACGGTCGTCAGTAGAAGAGATCGATAAACACTGCTTCTCTGTTGAGTTCGTTTTTGCCGAGTTTCTTATTGTCTATCAAAAGCGTTTCTGTCGTAGCCGGCGTTCGAATTCCGGCAGCATGATTTTCGTTTGTTGGCTGTCAAACTCAGTCAAACGCTGCCTTGGCGCTTGACTGCGGGTCGTGTTTACTCAGTGAAGCGCCAATGGAACAGGAGTTTCGTCTGAACGCTGACACTGCAATCGTGTCCAATATTGCATATGTCCCGCGCTCAATCGACGAAGATGACATCAAGGGTCCATTCGTCAGGCCACACCAAACTCTGTAGAGAGAGAAAAAAAAAAAAAAGTTTTGCGCATTGTTTATACGTTGCGCGAAGTAGTGCTTACAATATACCGTTGTCAGAGTTTGAAGCGATGCTCTTGATATTTGAAACGTGTACGTCTTGATAAGATGACATATATCTACTCTAAAGTGCACCTACATATATCTTAATTATCCACATAAATGGGGAAATTAGTAATGCTCCGCGAGGGGCCGGACTTTTTTTTACTGCGGTTCTTGAGGTGAAAGGCTGTATATGTGTTTCCCGCCATAGCTACATGAATGGGAAGAGTTAGTCTCGCTGAGGTTATTTGTTGTTTTTGTGTTGTATCGTCAGCCTCGTTTGGTTATGAAAGTGGGTGCAGCTTCGGTATTTTTACATATCTGAACAATGAAAAGCAGCAAGTGTTGTCTGCTGTTAAGAAATCGGCGCCTGCGAGTGACAGACATCGCTCGCTATGAAACTTGAGAACGCTACCACTCCTGTCTTTCTCTGGCATGCAGTTTACTTTGAGCGCGTGCAAATTGGCTTTGGTTACCCCTGAACACGGGCGAAACTTAGAAAATAAAATGTCAGTTACCAAGAAATGCAAGTGTCGTCGTCCTGTCTGTTACCAGGCGTCGTATGCTGAAAGTCGTTTGCTATCAAGAATGTGCAAGTGTCGTCTTCCCATCAGCTACACGAAGCGCATATCAAGTGTCTGCTATCGGGAACGTGCAAGCGTCTTCCTCTCGTCCGCTACTTGTCGTCTGCTGAAAATGTCATCTGCTGCAAGAAAAAAATACCAGATGTAATCTTCTCGTCTGCTACCTGTGGTCTGCTACCAAGAATGTGCAACCAGTGCCGTGTGCTACTAAGAATCTGCGAGCGTCACCTTCTCGTCTGCTACCAAGAATATGCAACCAGTGTCGTCTGCTGATGCACCGAGCGCTGTCGTGTGCTGCTCGCCCTCGCCGCGGTTCGGCGATCGCGATCGCCCCGGGAGGGGAAAAGGAAACAACCTCGGGAAAGATATCAACATGTAAAAAAACGTGATTGTGGTGGAGAGCGCGAAAATTGAGGAGGTCGCCGGGCCCCGCCGCCACCACCGCTTGCCGCCGCCGCCTGTTTTTCCTGGTCTTGGTCTCGGGGGGGATACGTCGGCGCGTCGTGCGCCCACCACCGGTTGCGAGGAGAGTCCGTCGTCTCCGCTTCTTCTGCCTCGCACGCAGACCAAGGGACGCCGGAATTCTTCCAAGTCACCGACCAGCCGACCGCGTCCTCGTTGACCGCTGAAGAAAAAAAAAAAAAAAGCAGAAGAAAATCACGTTCGCTCTTTCGTTTCGAATCTACGACTGTCGTCTGCTGCCGTGACGGAAAAACGAGCCGACGCTCGCTTCTTCGTCTTGAAGGACTACAACCTACGCCCCGACGCCGACGTTCCCGGCGTTCGCTTCGCAGCCATCTCAATGTCGTTTCTCGAGCGGGGGGTGTCGAGTTTTGGCAGTATCGTACGCTGCCTCCTCGACGACGCATAGTGCGGGCGGAGTTGGATTCACACCACCGGCTGCGGAAAGTGCCGTCTTCCGTGCATGTGTGCGTAACCGCGAAGTGCTTGTTGCGCTCGTCTATGTGTATACTGCCAGTAGTAGCACCATCGCCAGCGGATAGAGGAAAGCAGCAGCGACTACAGCGACCGAGACTGAAGGAGCTGTCACGGAACGCTAGGCCTAACGCCGTTCTCGCTTTCCGGGCGTGTGCCAAGATTCCATTCTGAAGACGACTTGGGACGAGGACGGCGTCGCTGCTCGAATCGGATGAGCGGTTTTCATCGCGCTGCTGATTTCGTTTTTATGTGTGGTTCGTTGACGTGTGGCGTTCGTCGTATCCGAATGGCGAGGTGGTGCGGCGACATCGAGGAGTGTCGGTGACTGCCCAGTGTCCGGATCACCGAGGAGGCGGTGATTTCTGTCTGTGTCGTGGTTGGTGAAAAAAAAAGAAAAAAAGCGATGGGTCAACAGTACAGCCGCGGAGGCGTCGGGTCGCCGGGCATGGGCTACACGAACCAGGGAGGGTCGCCCGATCTTCGCACACGTAGGCTTTCTACCAGGCGGGCTAGAGCCGGTGAGTTTTGCTGAGTCATGTGGACCTTACCTTTTTGTGCGATAGTTTGGCCGTGGTGTGTGTGACCAAGGATTGACCTCGTCGTGGCCGATGACTTCTAACTTGGCAGGAAAGTTGAAACCTTTCCGTGTTGCACAAAGCCTCTGAATTTTTGGTGGTGATGTGGTTAGTGATTGGTCTCGTCGTGTCCAATCGCTGGCTTGGCTGAGTGACAAGGGGTTAGCGACGGGATTATTTACGCTTACGCGAAAGGGGCGTTCTCGTCACGGCTGCAGTCACAGATGACAGCAGCGATTGGCCTTTTCATAGCCAATCACCGTGGACTCAGGAGGAGGTCTTTTCGTGTACCACAAATCCTGACATTGGCATTTATGTGGTCTGTTATTTGTCTCATTGTGTCCAATCACTGCATTGGCTGAGTGGCGAGTGATTGGCCACGAAAGTGTTCACGTGAAGGGGACGTCTTCATCGTGGCCAGTTGCTGCTTATATCAGTGATTGGCTATGAAAGTGTTCACGTGAAAGAGACGTCCGCATCGTGGCCAGTTGGTGCTTACATCAGTGATCGGCCTCTACATGGCCAATCACTGTTAACTTGGCAGGAAAACTTTCCCTTTATCACATCTTTGGCAGTGATGTGGTCGGTCATTGGTCTCATCGTGTCCAATCACTGGCTTGACTGAGTGACGTGGGATTGGACAGCAAGGTTTTTACGTGAAAGGGGCACTAATGTCCCGATTTGCGAGATCATTCGACGCTGCCTGAGCCAACCAGCACAAGCAGCTTAAAAAAAAAAGTCGACGGGTTGTTGCTGTTTAAACTCTAAAAACAAAAACAAAAAACAGTTACATCGCGTAAGTCGACGCGACGTCGGCGCGCCTTGTCCGTTGTTGGAAGTGATACGCGTACTGTGCGCTGTGCTATTGTTCGTCACCAGGCCATGAATCATCAGGTCGTCACCGTAACAAACTGTCAGCTAAAGCTGATTTTCAGCTCTACAGACGGCGCTACGATACCGAAAAGAAATCATAAAAATCGGAGAGTTTCGAAAACGTTCTTGCGGTGGACACTCATCCCGAATAAGCAAACACGAATCTCTCTTTCTTTTCTTACATTGGTTTCAAAAAAAAGTAATTTGTAAACCATCAAATGCATAACTAACGCAGCGAGGAACGCAGATATTAAACCTTACGTAGAAGGAAAGGTTTCCGCAGCGACGAAAATATGCTCTAAGGCGGACGTGTCAAAAAAGCTATGCTATGAGCTATGACTCGATATAACCCGTCATGGATGTGCACTTGGCACGGCTTGCTGCCAACTCGTGACTGTTTACCCCTACAGTTCATCATAGATGCAAGCCATAGTACCCCACCAAATCAAATAGAAAAAAAAAAAAAAGTTTTCTGGGTTATATATTTTTTAACGCAGATTGTATTTCATGAGTCGCCCCTGCGTTTCCCCCGCTAGATTTTCCGGGAAAATAGACGTCACGTGGTGTCATGGCGTCCACGTGACACGGCGAATTGACACGTGACGTTAGGTCACATGACGTCCTTCAGGAATATCTGGTCGTGTGACGTCAATTTCAGCGCTACATATTGCGGAGAAATGAATCAACGATACGTTCTTCTCACCCCGAAGCGACTGTTTAATGTCCCGAACAAGTTCGAACGATTGCCCCCTTAGATGCGGCATTGTATATGGAACTCTGAAGATAAAGGTCGCTGGTCATTTTTCTTTTGTTGTGCCGGCTCGATCGGCCCGAAAAAAAAAAAGAAACTGTTTGTCTGTTACGCACTGGTTGCAGACGAGATACCGCGCGCCATCTCCCTTTATCGTCTGCAAACCAACCGGAAACGCTCAAACGGCTGCCCGTGCCCTCTTTCCCACGTTTTCGTCTATTCATTTATCCGTCTCCATTGCTCCGATATAGGTCCGGCTGTTTACAGCTTCAAAAATTGGCCTCCTCGCAAGAAAAATAAATAAATAATAATAAATAACTGCGTTTTTTTTTTTTTTTTTTTTTTTTTTTTAGCGGCGACTCTCTCCGCATGTTCAATTGAAACTCTGGTATGGCAGCCAGAAAGCAAATGACACGAGAGCGGGTCGACGAGCGTCACGGAGACCGCGCCGCTCCTATCGTCGACGTTTTATGAGACTTCCGTGACCGACCCGGACGGGGGACACTTTATTTTTCCTTCCTTTGCATGGTCCCCCCACGTCAAAATCTTGTCGTGACCGACCGGGCTCCGACCGCTCCCCTGCTCCCTGCTTTGGTTAGGGAGCCGAGATGTAAAGAGAGCGATCAACCCGGACCACGGAGAGATTTTGCAACAGACCATACCCATAGACCATTCCTGTCTACAGGAATGGTCTCTTGCAATGGGGCCTACTCTAGGGCCCCCAAATTCTCATAGGCGGTTTACGGAAAGACTCATCGATGAAGTCTTCGTCAACGCTGTTGTCGCCTGACAACATCTCTCACAGGACCGCTGGTGTACTTCTTGAGAGACCAGGAAGGTGACATGGAAATTCGTATTCAAGTACAACTTTTCTTGTGTCGCTTCAGCCCTACTCTTACGTACGACAAGGGTGGCGTTTGTTGTTTCAGGCACCAGCTTGTTTCTGAGTTTGGATTTCACTGTGTTAAGCTGACTAAAACGTCCTCTCTGCTTCGGCATTCGAGTTGGACAGCACCAGCGACGACATGGCCAATCCGGCCAACTCGGCGAGCGGTTTTTTCACCACAGGCATCTTTATAGGAAGGAGTGAACTTGTATTTGTTCGAGTTCATGAAGGTGATTTTCGCTCCACTGGGAACCTCATACGCCTTTCTCGCACCCTAGCTTCATCAGCGAGAGATAACCAGTCGGTCTTCATGTTGTCAACGTACGTTTCAGACCAACTAGCTTGGGGTCAAAGTGGTCTTTAAGTCTGAACGTCAGAACGTCCATCTGCTCTCTGGGAATTCCGACCTTTCTAACCAAGCTTGAAAGGGAGAGCAATGTCATAATGTCTTTGAGCAGCTTTGTTTTATCCACATATTTCGCCTCAAATCACGGATTTGTTTTTTCTGTTGAATTTCAGCGGGGGAGGATGACTCCCGGTCGCTCGTTGGGTCAGTCTCGAATTTCTGCGCTTTTTAGAGGGCACGGAAATTGTGTTTTTAGGGATAATTTCGAGTTGGTGCACCGCGTAAGGCATTCGCCAGAAATCCGTTATGTATGAAAATGGTTTGATCAAGAAATCCACTAGCCGCTAGACTAATCTTTTTTTACGTCAAAAAAAAAAAAAAAAAAGATTTAGCGGAAAATTTGTCATATTGGCATCACTGCATCTCAGACCGTTGAGATGCGAAATACGTAGCGCCTCTCATCGTCTTTTGGACACACTACGGCGATCCGATGTACGGCGCGCGAGAGAGTACAACACAAATAGAAGGAGCTGTCAATGTTTGTTCGGAATTTTGGGATGACTGTTTCAGAACGCAAGAGAAGCAAGACTACAACACAGACAGAGTACGTGTCGGCTTTGTGATGTGTTTGCTCTGTTTTCTTTGTGCGTTTTGAGCTCGCAGATTGTACGTGGAGTGCGAGCAAAGATAATGTCTGCTAGAGTGCCTTCATGTGCGCTTCGCATAGAGTGATGCCAACTGCCTGTTTCCCTTTCCCACACCCTCTTCCACCGCCATTTTGTTTCTCGCATTGTTTCCCCGTGCGCCGGAAAGTGGCCTTTGTGTCCATCGGTAATCCCATCCGAGGGGGAAAATGCTAATCCTCCCTCCGTGGGTTCCACAACGCTGCTCCGAACTTCTGAGATAAGGTGCTTGTTTCCGGATTATCGCCGAGGAACAAAATGGCTGCTGGTTTGTCGGCGAGTGGTATTACAAAGGGTGGCATCACCCTAGCAAAGCGCACATGAAGGCTCCCTAATGTCTGCCCTTCCCTCCCCCTCTCCCCTCCCGAACGTTGTGGATGGATGGATGGATGTTAAACCCTTCGTAACGGGCGGTCGCTTGCGCCACCTAGCCTGACTCTAAAATAACAAACTGGGATTTTTTGGAAAGACACGATTAGTTTCGACTTCCGCTGGCACGGAAAAAGCAATACCGTTTATCCTCGCTCGATAGTAGTTTCTCTTTTTGCGCCGCCAGTGCGCACGCGTTGTGGCGTTCTGTGGAGAGGAGGAAAGCGGGCGGCGAGGCGAAGACGCTTACAGACGATCGACGACGCTTACGGCGCCTCCTCGCAGACTTGTGTTAACCGCGTGACCCCCCGATCGAGCAGTTGGAAAGACTCTGAAATCTAGGAGCTTTGGTCGGCGGCGAGAACGATGTCCTCCACTCTTCGGGGGGGGTTGCGTGTTTAACGTGTTTTATCGATTCTGTGGTGCCCGAGCGTGTGTCAGCAGCACCCAACGCAAAAACCGCCCCAAGTTTTCTGATGTCGTAAGGAAACAATTCACGCGCCGCAAAAAGAGAAACTACTATCGAGCGAGGATAAACGGTATTGCTTTTTCCGTGCCAGCGGAAATCGAAACTAATCGTGTCTTTATTGTTTTATTTTTGGCGGCCCGTTTGCTCGCTGGTTTAGGTTAGGAAAAGAAGGCTCCGGGTTTTGATGAAAGATGTGAAACTTGTTAAATAGCAATGTCTTAAACTTAATGGGTTTTCTTTTTTTCTTTTTTTTTTAGAGAGGGAAAGAGAAATTTGGGTTCGGCAATATTTTTTTTTATGATTATGTTGAAGCGGAGATTTTGGGCTTGGTGTTCAACCAAGTATCCGTCAAGGTCAGAGCAGACGCTCCTACTGGAATAAACGCGCGCCTGGTTACAATGAAAAAAAAAATATTTATTTATTTATTTATTTATTTATTTATTTATTTATTAAGGGGAGGGGGGAGGGGGGTTGGAGTTGCGCCGTTTGGACGGTGGAGACGCTGTCGGCTGAGGCAACTCGGGGGCGCGCCTATAGGACTTTACCTGGTTGATCACGTCGCAGCA